CACTTTGCTTTTTGCTTCTCCAGGTAACTAGATTTCCTCCCAGGAAGGTACAATAGCCACTAGTTGACTTTCTGTCATTTAGGGATCCTGCCCAATCTGCATCAGTATACACTTCAACTTTCAAATGTCCGTGCCTTTGAAACAACAAGCCAGCACCTGGAAAACTTTTAAGGTATTGGAGGATTCTTTCTACTACTTCAAGATGAGTGGTCATAGGGCCATGCATGAACTGGCTAAGGACATCAACTGCATAAGCAATGTCTGGGCGGGTCATAGAAAGATATAACAATCTCCCTATAAGTCTCTGAAATTGTTTCACATCCTTGATAGGTTCACCTTGGCTGTCACCTAATTTTTGGTTAGGATCAATAGGGGAATCAACTGGCTTCACTCCCATTTTTCTTGTATCTTGGAGTCAATCTAGGACATACTTCCTTTGGGAAATGAAGATACCCCTTTTGAGCGGACCTAGATCCTTTACTTCAAACTGTGTGGCAAGAAAACTCTTCAACTTTTGGATTTCATCCTTCCAATCGTCAGTGATAATTATATCATCAACATATACTATCAAAGCAACAATTTTACCTTCTCTTATTTTCACAAACAATGTGTGATCAGATTGACATTGCTTGTATCCTTTCTACTGAACCGCTGCATGGAATCTGCTAAACCAGGCTCTCGGTGATTGTTTCAGCATGTATAAAGACTTCTTCAACCTGCACACCTTTTGTTCATTGCCTTGAGCCTGAAAACCAGGGGGTTGTATCATATAAACTTCCTCTTCAAGGTCACCATTCAAGAATGCATTCTTGATATCAAGCTGATATAGATCCTAGTCAAGATTAGCAGCAAGAGAGAATAGAACTCTAATGGAGTTCATCTTGGCAACGGGTGCAAAAGTCTCTGCATAATCAACTCCGTACACTTGTGTAAACCCCTTTGCCACTAAACGAGCTTTATACCTCTCCACCGTGCCATCAACCCTATGTTTGACTGTGAACACCCATTTACATCCAACTGGATCCTTTCTCTTAGGAAGATCTACAAGTTCCCATGTGGCATTTTTATGAAGGGCATTAATTTCTTCCTTCATAGCATCTGTCCATTTAGGTATTGAAAGAGCTTCTGCCACATTCTTAGGGATAGGGACACTGCCAATGGATGTGAGAAAGGCTCGAGAAGAGAGTGAAATGTTTTCATAGGAAACAAAGTGGGAAATGGGGTGTTTAGTGGTGCACGATCTAACACCTTTCCTGTGAGCAATAGGAAGGTCAAGGTCATTAGCAATAGAGGTATCAATTGCAATGGGGTCAGGGACATCAATGGGAACCAAGATACCTGAGTGAGTATGATCCGCCCCCGAAGAGTTTAATGGCATTGGAGGTACATCTTCTGGATCCTCCATAGCTCTTGAATTTGGTTGGCCTTTGTGACGACGGAAGAAGACACGAAAAGGAGGAGGATCAGGAAGAGGAGGAAGCTGAACCAGTTTCTCCTCATTCCTACTCTCCCCCTGAGGAGAAACAGGGAAAAAAGGCTCACTCTCAAAGAAAGAGACATCTATGGAAACATAGAATTTCCGAGAAACAGGACCAAAACAACGGTATCCCTTCTGAGTAAAGGAGTACCCCAGGAATATGCAAGGAATAGCACGAGGATCCAATTTTCCACGAGTGGGTGACAAATTTTGGACAAAGCAACGACAATCAAACACACGAGGAGGAATGGGAAGAAGGGGGCCTTAGGAAAGAGAAGCTGATGTGGGGCTTTGCAATCTAACCAACGAGAGGGCATACGGGTTGATGAGGTAGGTAGCACAAAGGACAACCTCAAGTCAAAAGCGTTTTGGGACATTCATATGGAGTAGTAAACCCCAGGCCACTTCAAGGAGGTGTCGGTTCTTTCTTTCAACAGCACCATTTTGTTGTGGTGTTCGAGCACAAGAGCTATGGTGAAGTGAACCACGTGAAGCAAAAAATTCTGTGAGATCACTATGAAAATACTCTTTGGCATTATCTGACTGAAAAATTTGGATTTCCGTTTGAAAAATGGGGTACTTCATCCTTGGTCCGCATGGGATATACCCATTTATATCTAGAATAATCATCGATAATGGTAATAAAATACTTGTAGCCACTCTCATATGGTAAAGTAACAGGGCCCCACACATCAGAATGAACAATGTGAAAAGGAAATTCAGATTTATTATTTTTTGAAAGAAAATAAGTTCTACATTGCTTACTCAATTGACAAGTTTGATAAGAGAAATCTGAAACGGACACTTAAACAATTCTAGAAACACCACTTTCAAAGACTCAAAAGATAAATGACCAAGACGACATTGCCATAGATAAACTTGACTCTTATAGGACTGACTCTTAGACTCTGTGACTTGATGACCAGCCTTATTCTCCAGAATGTAAAGTCCATCAACCATACATCCTCTACCAATCGTCCTCATCGAGGCCAAATCTTGGATCACACAGTAAGAAGGGAAAAAGGTCATTGAACAGTTTAAGGAATTAGTAATACTACTAACAGACACCAAATTAATGGGAACTTTTGGAACATGTAAAACATCAGAGAGGGTAAGGTCGAGAGGGAGAGAAATGGTTCCTTGACCAGCTATGGTAGTGTATGATCCATCAGCTAGTCTCACCTTGTCTCTTCCAGAAAGAAGGTGATAAGTTTGAAAGTAAGAGGATGTACTAGTCATGTGTTTTGACGCTCCAGAATCAATGATCCAGGGAGTGTCAGGGTTATGAGAAGCAACATGGAAAGCTGTGGCAGAGTTACCTGATGTAGACGCAAATGAAGTTGAGGGAGGAGCATCCATCTGACGAATTGCTCTAACATAGAACTCTAAGTGGTCACGGAAGGAATTTATAATATCCTTCCTTGGGTCAGATCTAGATGGATGTGTCTGAGTCACAGTATGAATGGGGGGCTGATTCTCTTGAGTAGCCATGTTTGCCATAGTGTGTTTTCTTGTACCTTGCTGTCCTRACTTTTTATTCATATCTGAACCTTGCTTCTTATTCAGATCTTGAGCCCATTTCGGCTTCCCATGAAGATCCCAGCATGTGTCTCAGGTGTGTCGGGGTTTCTGGCAATGAGTACACCACAATTTTCCCTTGTCATCCATCTTTTTCTGATGATCCCCTTCTTAGAAGTATTTCCCCCACCGGTAGTAACACTCCCTTTCGCTGCCAACACAACTGCATCTCCAGAACTGTTCATCAAATTCCTTTTGCTTTCTTCTGATTGTACAAGAGCATAAACTTTCTGAACTGATGGAAGATCTTTGCTACCTAGGATCTGGACTCTGATAGATTCATATGTAGGGTTCAAACCATGTAAGAAAGCAAACAYTCTCTGYWGRGAGACDAGYTTTTTGTACAGTTTTGCATCTTCATCACACTTCTAGTCCACACTCTGATAATGATC